GTTTCACCTTTTGAGTTGCCTTCCTGACATAAATGAACATTTGCACGATATTCTAATTTTTCGAGTTTCACCTGTATACTAAGCTGCATTTCCCTCATTTTTCAGGATTTCAACCTATTAGATAGAACATCCAAATCCAAATGTGTATTATTATAGCCATGGGCCAGAAATCAAATATAATAAACAAGCATATATACTATGAATATACAAAGATAGAAATAAAAAGGTATAATAAAATAAAAAGTAAAAGCCAGAAATTAATACAATTCTTCAGTCACAACAAAAGATGAATACTACATATAGAAACAAAATTGAGCAATCCTGGAAGATACAGCTGAATCCTGGTTGGATAGATGAAATGTCAGCTAGAAATCATGCTCTATAGTTGAGAATATCATCAGGATGGGATGGATGAAAATAATCCAGAATTCCCTGTGAAGAGAGCAGAAAAGAAGCATGTGTCTCAAAGAAGCTACTGAGCCATTCCCACAAGAGTGAATGCACTAATATGAGGGGATGTTTTTGCAGCATCCCAACAAAACAGCAGAGGTGGGAAGCTGGTACGCACACATTTGGAAAGAAAAAAAATCAGACAAGCTGTAAAGTAAGGAACCAGGCTGAGATTGAGGTGAAAATCATTATCCCAGATAGATTGCAGGTTGGACCAAAGTCTCTATTATTAAGAAAGCTGGTAACTAATTGCCAGAACCAAGAAGGATTCTTAAGCTTAGCAGATGTAATTGAGCTCCCCCATTCCTGTCTCATAGCTTGCCTTTTCTTTGATTTTAAATAGAGCTTTATCGATATTATTTTTGCTCTACAAAGCAGTTGAAATGCACTGAAAGAGTTGTTGCATTGGAAAGCATTTACCGCAAGGAGGAGGGCTTTTTTTGTTTGATATAGTCAGTATCAAACCAAGTTAAATGCAGAGGAAGATGTAACAGTCTGAGGATAGTCTTGACAGGGGAGCCTGGAGTGGAAGGATAATAGACTGGTAGCGTATTAATACCTCCTCAGGGAAATCTGAGCAGATTTGGTAATGAAACTGGAGGAGGAGTTTAGAACAGCCGGATCTTTTGCTACTCTGGCAGACCATTTATTCCAAACAAGCTGTTTCATTGTGGCACCAAGAGGACAACGAACTGTGTCTAGGAACTTAGTATTTGCTTCAGCTCCAGCTGGCAGATTACGGTGGATCAAAATCTAATTTTCTGAAATCCTGTAGATCTAATTCTTCTCAGTTCCTCTTCCTCTGGATATCACAAATTCAAAGACAACAAGCACACTTTCTTTTAAGGCTCCAGTCACCCTTTTGCCCTGTTCATTATTTTCATGCAGACCTTTACTTTCTGGTTGCAAGCTCCCAGAAGCTGTCTCTGTGGGTGGGACTAGCCTCGACTGGAAGAAAGTGAAAAGAAAAAAGAAAAGAGGAAGGAAAAAACAGTGCCTCCCCTTTAAATTCCCCTGCCAAACTCCCTTGCCAAACTCTTATTTTCTTTCTATTTTTCAGGTACTCTAACATGCTTAATAATGTGTATGGTATGAAGAGTTTTCTAAATAGCTTGCTGTATGGAGATACATATATGAATTAGTTGATTAGAACATATATTAATGTTATATATTTTGAGTGTGTGTGCGTAAAATATCCAATAGTATTGATGCTTTATATGTTTGTCCAGAATCTGAGGTCTTTTATTCAAACTTTTACTGCAGCAAAATATTTTCTTCCTGTTATGGAATAGTTATTCTTAGGCATATTGTGGAAGAGTCTGTCTATCTACAACCATTCTCAGGGGAGTACATACTAAGTCTTTCCAGATTTTTATTCAGTTAAGAAGTACTTTTAATAGCTCCTCTCGTCACCAGGGTATTACTAATGAACACCATAAAACATAGACAAATTGTAGAGAATAGCTTTGAGACATTTTCTCTATACCAGTCTAAATTTTGTGTTCTAAGCCTCTTTAAAAAAGAAAAGAAAAAAGAAAGCCCAAACAAGGTAAGAACCACATTGCTTACTAAAAAAGAGAAACAGTATAGGATAACAAAGAAGCAAATTAATACATAGAATTTCTTTATATTTACTATATTTATCTTGGATGGTATTACCAAACAAAGGCATAATAAACTCAGAAATTCCCCCAATTTTTTCCTCCTGTTTTCTAAACCCCAAGTAGTGTCAGTTGTGCATAAATTCTAGTCTATTTGGACGTTTGTAGAACTTAGCAAGTTCCTGATTATCGTAAGGTTAGATGAAGATCTCCCTATTCTGTTGCTTGGATATGAGGAGACATAGGAATAAGAAATTATTTGTTTAAAATTAAATCAACAGCCAGTATTTTAGATTCACTTCAGTTCACATCAGTTGCAGAAACAGTATGCTGTCTTCTTTTATTAAATCAAGTGATAATTGGGGAATCACTAGAGTAGGATGGCCAGCCTGTCAAGGCATACGTGTGGGAATTTCCCCTGCCCATCACAGTTTCTTGCCCAGGCAGCCCCTCACTGGTCCTTCGCTGTTCTCATCCTCAAACCTTGCAGCATCCCTATTTTGACTCTATCTTTGATCTCCTTTGTTTTCCTTTCTCTGAAAACTAGTAGTTATTGTTCTCTGTTTTGTTTTACATGCTATCCAAATTAATATGCTTTTTATTGTCATTGTTGCTCCAGGCAGTCACTGTCTTAACTGAACTGATAAGAGAAAACTTCAGAAACAGCAAACTAAAACAGTGTCTTTTACCTACTCTTGGGGAGTTGCTTTATCTTGTGGCCAAGCAGGTAAGATAAAGTTTTATTAAAATCTTTTATCCATTTTTTAGGAGTTTAACAAAATGTATTCATTTTTAGGCATTAATCCTGGGATTCTCAAAGTGTAAGTTACAATCTCCTGGTGGTTGTAAGTAATTTAAAGAGAGGGAATGCAAACATTTTTAAAGCTCATCAAGATTGTACAGGTGAAGTGGGAGCACTATTTTAAATAGGTTACAAAAGAAGAGTCTTGGGATTTAACTGACCAATCAGCTATGCTCCATGTACATAAGTGAACTCTCCAGTTTGTATTAATTCCCAATTAGGAATTTTCAAAATGCATCTTTTATGGTTGTTAGATCAGGTGGTTAAGTTGAGCAACATGGGTCTAAGGCAACATCTGCAGAAATTATTATTTTATCCACAAGACATTGATCAAAATTGATTAAGAAGTGGAGACAGATACATAAATCATATCATCATCTAGGGTTTCAGCGTATGGTAAAAAAAGGCAGAGAAAAATCCACTGCTAGATTAATAGATCACGATAGAGTAGCTATTTGTGATGGAAGTTTCAGACATTTCTGAAAAGGAACTACAACAACCTGATCAGTAGCGCTAGCTTCTATTAATTCTTACGCCAGAGATTTAGATTTGGAATTTGGATGTACCAGGGAATTAAATGTTTAGCTAGAATGCATGGGTCTGTTTCATAATCTGAGGATGCTGTAGTTCTTATTATGTTTAGGAGGATGCAGGGCTAATGAAGGAGATTCAGCTAGAGTGTGAATCAATGCTTTAAGAGTTACAAGTTCAGAAGTCATGCGCTGTGCCAAGCGACTGAGTTCACCATCATCAATCAGACTAGAATTAAGGCAGTTTTTACTATTAATATTAGAGATAAATTCCTGAATATGCTTTTCCATCTCCAATTTAGGTCTATCATGAGTTATAATAAATGCCTTCTCCCTTTGTTTACATTGAAATTATGGCTTGGTTCAGACTTAGGTGAAGACTAGACAATTTTTCAAGATGTCATCACAGGGGCTTTAGTAATCATAGATTGGCTAAAGGTATTTATTGAGCCAAGTCTTTGGAATGGCATTAATAAGTTGGCATTATTTCCTATAGGATTATCTCTCTTTTGAGACTGCTTCATTTCCAGTTTTTAAAAATTCTCCAAGGATCTAGCAGCTTGTCCCCCAATAAATATCTAGGAGGGATATCTTTAAACACACCCTGAGCATAAATTTGAAAGTTAGCAAGGAATTTCCCCATCCTCAGAAGCATTCTTGGGTTGCTTAAATATAAGCAGTAATTTCTTCTTGTGATATGGGCCATACAGATAGCAAGTCAGTTTGGTGGGGTTGACTTCTAAGCAACTGAGCCAGTGAAAATATATTCTTGTCTTTTATTCTCCCAACAACTCAGGTATTCATGGGGATTGTTAGAAGCACTTACCATTGGTAAGAAAGGAAAATAATTGTTTTAATAGTGGGTGGCTAGTGTAAGTGCTCAGCTACATGCACTTGGCCCTGAGGTTTGTTCAGCCCGGTTGTGCTCAGTTAAAAAACAAAACAAACAAAACAACCCTTTTCAGAAGGGGTTGGAAGAGGAGCAGTAGGATTGGCCACAGGCTTCCTCTGTTTTGCTACAATAATAGGAGAGCTTCTATTCTAGTCTCCAGCCCTTCAAGTATTTCCTGCATGCTGTTAATTTTAGTAAATAACAAAGATACAGTCTCTGAGATCAAAAGGCATTCCTTGGCAACAGGTTCTATTGAGAGAGATAATAGAGGAGGACAAGTATTATTTCAAGCCTCTAGGTGATTAGTATAAATTCCACCATCCTCCAAAGCTATTTTAGATAGAACATGCTGAGTTGATTCCAACTGTTGTAAGTCTCCTGCTTCATTATCATTAGATACAAATTCTACAATATTCTTAGTAGACAATGCCTCAGTCAATGGAGCATACGCATTTGAGACTACAAAGGAGTCCAGTGTACTTAGTAATTCATCTGCCTGTAAAATCCTCCATTGTTTAGAGCCTTTTAAATATTGTTGTGGCTTGGAGTTCTTTGGGCTCATCCTTGGTCACTTTTTCTTATTCTCCATACTACTGTAGTTAGTAAAAGTAACTTTGAAAAGCTTTTGGCAGATAAAAAAAAAATAGCTCCCCGGTGTTCAAAGGGGAGAAATGCAGCTAGAGTTTAGCTGGTGGTGGAAATAAAAAAACAGTTTCTAGATATGAGTTGTTACAGTCTTACTATCTTGGAAACACCCCAGGAGCACTGTCAAAAATTGTTCCTCTTTTGCCTGGGCAAGCTCAGAGCTTCAAGTGAATATGGAGAAATATTCACTTGAAGCTAAAAAACTTGTGAGTCTAGCCATCTGTTAAAACCTTCGGGCAATGTTGTGATTGCATTTGGTTTCCCCTGCTGATGACTTCCAGAGTGGCATGTACTAGTATACTGTAGTCTTTGTAGTGCCTGTAGAAGTTCAGGATTGTTATCCGCTATTTCAAATTTCTAGATTTTCAAAATTAAGTCTTTCTTAGTAATGCTAATAAAAGTAAACCTTGGTCAAGAAAGCATGGTGAAAGCTCCATATATTTTAATAGGTAGCATATTTATTGCCAATCTCTACCCCCAATGAAATCATTAATTTTATTCATGGAAAGGTTGCACAAATTTTGTTATTTCAGGGATTGCAGTAGCACAAATATTGAGAACCCCTTGCATTAATTAATCTCATTTTTCTTGTCTCAAAAATGGTCTTGAAATGTCTTCCTGCAGTTTTAAATCATTTTACCCTTTTCATTCAGGGTTCAGGCCCAGGCATGCATGAGCCTGCAGAGGTCACTTTAGTGGATTATTTCTGTCAGGACCTTGATGAGGAAGTATACCCATTCTAGTCCTATGTGAGCTTTCTGCAGCATCTGATACCAGGGACCATAGCATTTTTCTGGACTGCCTACAATGGTTAGACATTGGGGGCAGAGTCTTGCAGAAATTCCAATCCTACCTTAATAGATTATTCCAATCAGTGGTAGATGGGCATGAGAGGCCAGCCTAGTGGCTGTTCTGTTGAGGGATGCTGCAGTGGTCAGTCCTTTCCCCCTTGCTATTTAATATAAAGCTACTGGGAGAAGTCATCCAACAGTTCAGGGTGACACCATCAATATGCTGATTTTATTCAGCTTTATATTGCCACCCTGGGCCCAATTGGAGATGCTGATCCTGCCCCACGGAGGCTGTCAGAGTGTGGGTGAGACAAAATAGAATAAAACCAAACCAAAGCAAGACAAAAGTTACTATTTATTTATTTATTTACTTAATTAGCTAGCTAGCTAGCTAGCTAGTAAGTAAGTAAATAAGTATGGCTCTCTGCCAGCTCCAGGATTGTCTCTTAAAGGAATTGCTCTGCCTTTGAGGGAGCAAGTCCATGACTTGGGGTCCTTCTGGACTTAAGTCTGCTACTTGATAGGCAGATGGAGGCTGTGGTCAGGAGGCCCTTTGCCTGTTTTTGTCTGGTGTACCAGTTGCAGCCCTTCCTGGAAGAACAAGGTCTGGCTAAAGTGACTCTTGCCTCACACCCTTATCAACACTCAGACCTCCTCAATGGGCTTTCTTTGAAAACCACTTGGAAATCTCAATTAGTTCAAAATGTTGCAGCCTGGTTGTTGACTGGCATTAATTGCTATGAGCATATTACACTTGTTGGGTACTGCATTGATTGCCAGTAGTTTTGATTATAAAACCCTATGTCACTTGGCCCCTGGGTGCTTACAGGACTGCATACTTCAACTAGATTCAAGGCAACCAAGAAAGTATACTTGGGAGAAGATGCATATGAGTCTCCTCTTTCATGAGGTTAGGGAGGCTATTGCTAAACAGTACTGCTTTTCCTGTTTTATTTAACAGAGATTTGAAAGTGCACCAAGAAAAAAGAAAAGAAAAATAAAAGATAAAAAAATAGAAAAATTTATAAGCTATAAAATTGAATAAGAATTTTAAGCATAATATTGGATTAGTACTGTATATAAAATGATCTTATGCCAATTTAGCATTTTAAAATAACAATTAAAATCAAATCAATATTCAGTAATTAGCAAAGGCAGCCAAAATGATAAGAATCCTCAATCAGAATAAATAATTAATATGAGTTTCCATCTAATCTCAAAATGTCTGTCCTTGTTATCACAAATCAAGCAAGGATTACTATTTTAAAGCCTTATATTAAGAAAAACCCAAATTTCAGATGTATAGATCCATGTGCAGAATTAAAGTCCATATATGGTTTCCAAGTTAAATTGAATTCATATTTTCTAAATGTGAAGTTTTTTTGACATTGATACATATTTCAATAGTTTACTCAGCCATTTTTTTTTTTTTTTACAAAGAAGGAATTATGTGTAATCTCTAGTAAGAAGCTTAAAATATCTGAGCAGCTGTTATCATATACAGAGTGAAGCCTAACTATTTTGTAGGAACATAAGGTTTTGTTATGCTTAACAGAAAAATAATTGGCAGGAAAGAAAAGTCAATATTTAAGTTTGTTTTATTCTGTAATGAGTCATCTTCCAAAACTAGAGTTTTGTGACATTGCCACCAAAATGATTCAATCTGTTTATTGTATTTCTAGCATTTTTTAAAATATGAGTTATCTATTTTGGCAATCAATACTGGTACCAATTTACCAAAACATCTTGTACCAATTTTCTCTAAGTGTAATATTCACAGTAAATTTAATATTTATCGCTCATAAATATTATCATTGTTATGTATCAGTTGTCCTGTTTAGGTACTGCATCCATTTAATCATATGATGTTTAACTTGCTCAGTTCCTGAATCATATTTCAGTAACACCTAACAGGTATTCTAAATGTTGAATTATAAGCTTTTCAAATTTGGTTAAGTCTCTGAGTATTCTACCTTTTTTTGTACTTGCTTTGAATATAATCCAGTCTGTATTCCAAATGTAGTTGAAGATTTGATGTAGCTAGTCCACATTGTTCTTTCATGACTTGCAAAATCT